TTCCAGATTCTGGCATATATTAAAGACCAGCTGAGATGTTCAGTCAACTACTGGATTCTTGGTCTTTCAGTCCGGAGACAGCCACTGTTGGACCACCCAGACCACAGTCTCCACAGTCTATAAGTCCTTCTACAAACCATCTTTTTATTTATATGTATAGATTCATTCTATTGGTTCTGTTCCTCTAGTGAACTCTGACCAATACAGCAGGGGTGATTTTTTTTTTTTTGAGACAGACAGGGTCTCTTGTAGCCCAGGCTTGTCTCTAACTCACTGTATAGCCATGTCGGTCTAGAACTTTCCACCCTCCATCTGCCTCAGCCTGACACCATCCTCATTGCCAAAACAGGGTCTCTGCCACCTATATTTATAGATACAGGAGCAGGCTCCATTCTGCAAAGTGTAGTACCTGGGCCAACAGCCCCAGGCATGGTGTTGCTCACCCAGTGGCGATTGAGTTGACACCCAATATAACACAATGCCCTCCCCATAAGTGAATCTGATGGCTAGACTCTCTGGCATGGCCTGAGGCCTACGGGGATGAATTCCCCTTTACTGGGCCCCATCTCATAAGAGTTTAGAAACCACCTACTAGGAGCCAGCCACCGAAGACTCTCCTCCCTTTGAGCAAGTTTCCTTTTGTTTGTTGCTTTGGTTTATTTTTGTGACACGGGGTCTAGCTATCTCAAACTCCTGCCTCAGCGTCCCAAGTGCTGGACAGATATCCTTACTATGAATTCCCTGTGGGAACACCAGACCTTGAGCAGAGACCCACTTCCCCTTCTGCCTGGGAGTAGGCAGCTGTAAGACAATGTTTAGTAAAAACATGTTTACTAAAAACGATACAATAAGTTCCTGGAAAAGGCCTTCCCACAGAAACCGCCCTGACCTCGACCTTGTCCAAAGACTAACTGCACCTTCAAAACCCACACACATCCACCTCTGGGGTCAGAGCAGAACCAGCCAGGGGAGAGGAGAGAGCAGAAGCTTCTCTGGTGGGAGCCTTTCTTAGGAGGTTTTCTTGAACCTTTTTGGAGCCTGTTTAAAGTTTTCTTTATATCGTTGAACGAGTCTCTGTGTTGTCAATCCCCGACACCCTCCGCACGTTCTCGGACACAGGCCGCGCAGCAGACGTAACAATTCCCCACTGTCCTGCCTCTCCCTAGCCTTCTCCAAACCTCTATCATTATGGAGGCAGGGCTTCAATGTCAATAAAGGAGTGGGCGCCTTATAAATTCCTGGACAACATCTCCATAGTAAAGGCCAACCTCGCAGCTATTGGCTCATGTGGCCATCGGCCCACGAATCCCAGTAAGCAGCACAGGGGTTCGGAGGGTGCCATTAATGGAGGCCGCCAGTAGGCTCTTGAAGACCATCGTAGCCAGCCAGGGTGTGTCAAAGGAACTCATTGCTCCCAGGAGGACCAGGGAACTGAGCTGTAGGCACAGATGCTGACTAAACAGGGATGTGGAGGCAGAGGGATCACTACAGGTTTAAGGCTAGCCTGGTCTACATAGTGAGTTCTAGTTCAGCCAGGACTACATAGTAGGATCCTGTCTCAGGGTTGTAAAGGGGTGTCTTCTGAGCCAAACTGCCACCATCTTCATCAGATCATCTGGGCTTGTTGGCAACTGTTGCAGTTCCCTCACAGGAAGGGCAGGTAGGGCTAGAGGGCCCTCACCTTGCTATCCACTCTTCCTAACCAGTTGTATGCAATTCTACCCTAATTGCATGGTGTCTCAGGGAGGGGGTAGAGGATGCAGATGGGGAAGGACTAGAGAACCGACCTCCATCTACAACCCATGATGGAGTCATCATCATCTATATAGGATGCAGTCCTTCCATTGTGGTTGTCTGTAACCCCTCACCTACTGCTCAGTAAGTGTAATAAATTCATTGATTGCCAGGATGAACTTTGGTAGCATCCCACATCAGTTTGTACCTGAGAGCCTTGGAGAAGGGGTAGATGTTGTTTTTGTGTCCCTCAGAGAAGAAATGCTAACAACCATCAAGATGGAAAAAAAAAGTGCTGACAGCTTGATTGTCCTGAATTCAGTTCCTAGCATCTGCATGGTGGCTCACACCATAGGACCTGATGCCCTCTTCTGGCATGCAGGTATGCACGCAAAGCACCCATCTATAAAATATAAATAAGCAAAATTCAAAATAATAATTGTGGGGAGCCGCCCCCACATTCTCCGTTACAAGATGGCGCTGACATCTGTTGTCAGTTGGAGTAAACAACCTTGGTGCGCACGTGCCTGCTACTTTTCTATCCCTTACTCTCTGCCTCTCCCGTGGCGTCATATGGGCTGACGAGCAGGAGCCAGTCAGGAGATGACACGTCCGAGGCGGGGACTGCTGAGCTATATAAGGGTTGGGCTTTTTGCTCCCCGGGTCTGTAAGCTTATGCTCTCCCTCTCAAGACGCATTAAAGCTGTTCTGCAGAAGGATCCTAAGTGTGCCGCGTCGTTCTTGCTGGCGAGACGGTAGCGCGGGACATCTGGTGCCGAAACCCGGGAACTCAGACCTCATCATCGTCAGCACCATCGGAGACCCCTTGGATTCAAGGAGGATTCAGAACTGCAGGTAACTACGCTCGGAGAGGTATGCTATTCTGGGACTTTGGATTGGAGCCTCTGTTACAATTGTTACATCGTTACAATTGTTAGGAATAGCGGCAGTGCCTGACTGTGTGCTTTAGTCTCTTGTAGATAAAAGAGCTGCGCGCGGTCGTTACTTTTGTTTCATTTGAGCCGCAGGTGTTTATTTTTATCATGGCTCCTCTCAATCCGTCTAGCATATCGTCTAGCATATCAGAAACCAAGCGTAGTGAGAGGTTAGGTGCACGTAAAAAGAAACCGGTTGTAACTAAGAAAGATAACCCCCCCGGTAAATTTAAGGATAAGGGGGAGCCCTTACAGTCCCCAAGAGGGACATTAGAAGATAAACAAAAAAGGGGAGAAGGCTTATACCCTTTTCAGGAACTGGAAGCTTGCACAAATGCAAGTCACACATACTGTATACAGGCCTGCCCTACAATCCTCAGGGACAAGGCATCGTGGAGCGAGCACATCCCACACTTAAGTCTTACCTAATAAAACAAAAAAGGGGGAATATGAAGGAGTTGCCCCCAACACCAAGAGTGGCTATTGCCATGGCATTGTTTACTATGAATTTTTTAAAATCTGGATGATAAGGGTCAAAATGCAGCAACAAGGCATTGCTCGGATCTGCAAAGACCCAAAGAATTTGTAAAATGGAAAGATGTGCTAACTAATGAATGGAAAGGCCCGGATCCTATTCTAATAAGATCCAGGGGAGCTGTTTGTGTTTTTCCACAGAATGAAGAAAATCCCTTTTGGGTCCCAGAACGACTCACCAGAACCGTTATGGAACAAAAGGATGGCGAGACATATTTCCGTGACAAAGAGGAACAACTTGACATTGATGGCACTAATTGCAATGAATTGGACCTATGAATTTGAGTTGACCTGTCCTTCATGGAGGGATTGTCTTCGTGGATTTCTTCAGCTGTTTCATATTTCAAAGAATGGGTGAGGGTGGGATTGTTTGGAGCAGTCCTATGCTGCGGAATAGTGTTTATTCTCTGGCTGGTCTGCAAGCTCAGAACCCAAAACAAAAGAGATAAGATGGTCATAGCACAAGCACTGGCTGCGCTCGAGCAAGGGGCGTCAACCGATATCTGGTTGACTATGCTTAAGCAATAGGCTGCCGACTGAACAGCTCCTGCACACCCGGAACTTAGGTTCATTGCACAGGGTAGAGTGTTTAGTCTGGCCTCCCAAGAGGGGTGTTGAGCAAAGGCATCGCACAGAGAGATATTTTCCTCTGAGAGACATGTTGTCCTGCATAAGGGTTACCTGCTGTATTTTTTCCCTTTTCCCAGAAAAAGGCAGAGGACAGGTCGGAAGCATCCCGGATTTTGATGAATCTAGGGATAGGTTTCGTACACGTCTCACTAATTTTGTTCTTTGGGAAGTTCAATCACTGTCTCTACCCTCTAATGTCCTGGGAGAGCCTGTTTGCTATTAAAACAAAAAGGGGGAGATGTGGGGAGCCGCCCCCACATTCTCCGTTACAAGATGGCGCCGACATCTGTTGTCAGTTGGAGTAAACAACCTTGGTGCGCACGTGCCTGCTACTTTTCTATCCCTTACTCTCTGCCTCTCCCGTGGCGTCATATGGGCTGACGAGCAGGAGCCAGTCAGGAGATGACACGTCCGAGGCGGGGACTGCTGAGCTATATAAGGGTTGGGCTTTTTGCTCCCCGGGTCTGTAAGCTTATGCTCTCCCTCTCAAGACGCATTAAAGCTGTTCTGCAGAAGGATCCTAAGTGTGCCGCGTCGTTCTTGCTGGCGAGACGGTAGCGCGGGACAAATAATAATAATAGTGCTGGCACAGTGATGAAGACATGAGTTTGATTTCTAGGATTCACATGGCAGCTCATAATCATCTGGAACTCCAGTTCCCCCCCAGCTACAGGGAATCTGACTCCCTCTTCTGTCCTCCACAGGGAACCAAGAACACATGGTTCACAGGCAAAGCACATGTAAAATAAATCTTTACAGAGTTTCTCTGTGTAGCTTTGTCTGTCCTAGAACTCACTCTAAAGATTAGACTGGCCTAGAACTCAGAGATCTGTTTGCCTCTGCCTCCCGAGTGCTGGGATCATAAGTGTGTATCACCATGCCCAGCTGTAAAAATAAGCAAGTCTACCCAGGCGGTGGTGGCGCACGCCTTTAATCCCAGCACTCGTGAGGCAGAGGTAGGCAGATCTCTGAGTTCGAGACCAGCCTGGTCTACCGAGTGAGTTCCAGGACATGGTCCAAAAAACAATACAGAGAAACCCTGTCTCGAAAAACCAAAAAAAAAAAAAAAAACCAAGTCTGCCCTGGTCAGCAGGGCACTACGAGGGTTGAGCCCGGAACCTGGAATGAAAGGGACAAGAGACATGAGAGATGGACAGCAAGACAGACTTTCCAATCAAGCCGTGAGGTTTTATTTTCCTTAGGTGCGGTTAGGGAGGGAATGGGGGGGTCGTTGTCTGGTAACCGAACCAAGGAGTGTTGTTGGTCTTGTACCAAGGATTTTTCTTAGTCACAGACTGAGGGTTGTTGATAGTCACAGAGCACCACTGATGCTGAGCAGCAGGAATGGAGATGGAGATAAGCAAGGTGTCAGTAGGGTAAAGTCACAGGGTGAGGGGTTGCTAAATAACCTAATTGCAGGAAGAAGGGGTGTTAAGTAATCTAACTGCAGATTGCTCTCAGCTGTTCCTGTGAGCCCAGGTTCTTCTATTAGGAGTTCACTCAGTTACCACAGGATATTCTTTCTCTAAGCTGTCTTCCTGTGGGGGAAGGCTGAATGGGCTGTTTGCATGGGCTCTTGTCAGCTTTAAAGTTTATATAACAATTGCTCCTGGCAAGCCTTTAAAAAATAAGATAAAAAGTCAGGTGGTGGTGATGCATGCCTTTAATCCCAGCACTCAAGAGGCAGAGGCAGGCAGATCTCTGTGAGTTCGAGGCCAGCCTGGTGTGGCTTTCAGGCCAGCCAGGATTCCATATGAGACCTTGTGTAGGCAGATTTTTTTTGTCCCAACAGCCCACTCCCCAGTAACCACAAAGAGGCTTAATATTAATTACAAATGATTGGCCAATAGCTGAGGCTTGTTACTAGCTAACTCTCTTGAAATTAACCTGTACTTGGGCTTAGAGAGATGGCTCAGTGATTAAGAGCACTGCCTGCTCTCCCAAGTGGTCCTGAGTTTGATCCCCAGTAACCACATGGTGGCTCACAACCATCTGTAATGAGATCTGGTGCCCTCCTCTGGCCTGCAGACGTACACGCAGTCAGAACATAATACATCTTTTTAAAAAATTAACCCATATTTCTTATCTACATTCTGTCACATGGCTGTACCTTCTCTCAACAGGGCACATTCATCTTACTTATCTCTGGGTCTCCCAAAACTCCTGAGAATCTGTCCTTCCTCCCAACATCCTCTGTCTGGCTATCCTGCCTATACCTTCTGCTCAGCTATTGGCCAATCAGCTTTTTATTAACAATGAGAGCAACACATCTTCACAGTGTACAGGATTGTTTCATAGCAACTCTGCCGCAAAAAGAGGCTTGTTTTTAATTGTTTTTATTTATGTGCTGTATGTGTGTCCAAGGAGCATGCAGGTCCCTGGGAGAGGTCATCTGATCCTTTGGAAATGGAGCTGTAGGCAGGAGGTTGTGAGACACCTGATGTGGGTGCTGGGAACTGAACTCAGGTCCTGGAAGATCAGGAAGCCCTCTTAACCACTGGGCCACCTCTCCAGCTCTAACTCAGGGGGAAACTTTCAAACATGGATGTTGCCAGCAAAGATTCTGGAGAAGCCTAAGAAGTCTTGGAGGCGTCATTGTTGTAGTATTTTGATGTTAGAATTCAGTCCAATGGATGCACGTGAGTGAGAGGCTTATAGGCTGAGAACTTCTGATGGGTTTTGGAGAGGGGTGTGTTTAAAGAAAGGATAGATCGCCGGGTGGTGGTGGTGCATGCCTTTAATCCCAGCACTCGAGAGGCAGAGGCAGGCGGATCTCTGTGAGTTCGAGGCCAGCCTGGTCTACAGAGTCAGTGCCAGCACGGTCAGGGCTGTTACACTGAAAAACCCTGTCTGGAAACAAAACAAGCTGCCAAACCTGACAACCTCCTGAGTTTGCTCCCGGAATCCGCGTGGTGGAGGGAGAAGACTGACTCCTGCTGTGGCATGTTTGTGCATTTAAACGTTTGCATATGCACACAGAGATATGGGGGGGCAGAAGAGATACATGTCTTAAAAAATGGCTGAAAAGGCTGGTTATCTGACTCAGTTGGTGGAGTGCCTGGTTCCATCCCGCACCACATAAAACAGTGCATGGATGTGCATGCTTAGGACACCAGCACGGCGAAAGTAGAGGATCAGGACATCAGGGCCAGCTTAAACTGCAGGACATTCTGCTTCAAACAAAACAAAACAAGGTCCGAATTCAAGGACTGATCTTTTGCAGTACTGCACATGGACTCTGTCTCCTGCATAACAGTCTAGTGTTCCACCACTAAACTAGAGCCACACCCCAGGGACCAAATTATCAATATTCCTTTACCAGTTTGACTTGACCTTGCTGTAGAGGTGTCTCATGGGAGTTCCGCTATTTTGTCAATGTCAATATTTTAATCAAATCACTATGAAATGAAAATTTTTCCATTCTTCTATCGGCTAAACTATTAAACAACCCAAGAGGCCTATATATATTACCTCTATTTAAACTGGTGTTCTTTGCAGGGAGTGGTGGTGCATGCCTTTAGTTCTCAGAGGTAGGTGGATCTCTGGGAGTTCAGCGTGACTACATAGGAAGACCCCTCCCCCCCTCTCTCTCTCACACACACACACACACACACACACACACACACACACACACACACCTTGTTTTGGTGTGATCAAAAAAATCCAATTGTCACAATTCATTTTTTAAATGTAGTCTCTTTGGACAAGTTACAGAAATATTTGCAAACTCCTCAAGTGTGGGAGTGTGGAGCGGGCAGATCTCTGGCAGCAGGCTGGCCTGGGTTAAGCAGCAAGACCTTGTGTGAGGAGAAGAGAAAGTATGAGGCTGGCAAGATGGCTCAGCAGGTGGGGCAAGCTGCGCTCAGTGCCCAGGAGTCACATGGTAGAAGCCGAGAACCTACCTGCCAAGTTGCCCTCTGACCCCTACCAGCTGGCTCTATGGCATGGTGCACATTCGCCCAAAGGAAATAGATGTAAGTTTTCAAAAAGAAAGAAAAGAAAAAAGAGGAAAAACTGTCCCCAAAAATCAAAGGAAAGGAGAAAAGAACGAAAGAAAGTTAGGTATAAGCACACTAGGGAGGCAGAGCCAGTACTGCCACAAGTTCAAGTTTAGCCAGGACTACATAGCAAGACTCTGTCTCACTACCACAAAGAGAGAGAGAGACAGAGACAGAGACAGAGACACAGAGAGAGACAGAGACAGAGAGACAGACAGAGACAGAGACAGACGACAGAGAGAAAGAGAGAGAGAGACAGAGAGAGAGACAGAAACAGAGACAGACGACAGAGACAGAGAGAGAGACAGAAACACAGAGAGTGAGAATATGAGAATTTCATTGCATGGCCAGTTGCTATTATATCTATTGTATTGTTGACTTGTGTTGTGTGAGAGACTTCTCCTGGGGAAACCACACACACACACACACACACACACACACACACACACACACACACACACTCTCTAGACAGGGAACCCATGGAAGACCAAAGTAACTATTGCACCAGAGCCCAGCTTGATGAACTAAAGACTTTTACTGGGGGATAACAGGAGGGTAATGGGTTACTTACAGGAGCAGGGGTGACTCAAAAGTAGCTGTATTACAGAAAAGCACTCCCCAACACGAGTGACAACTCCTGAAAGGTGTAGCCCTGAAGGTCTCTGCACAATTGGACAATTGGATAGGTCTGAGAGATTGTCCTTTGGCAACCGGTCAGAGTTATCCAGCCCACAGCAGTTGACGGCTCCTAAAAGCTGAGGCAGGCCGGGCATTAGTGGGGCTCGCCTTTAATCCCAGCACTTGGGAGGCAGAGGCAAGGGGATCTCTGTGAGTTCGAGACCAGCCTGGTCTACAAGAGCTAGTTCCAGGACAGTCTCCAAAGCCACAGAGAAATCCTGTCTTGAAAAATCAATCAATCAATCAATCAATCAATCAATCAATCAATAAATGCTGAGGCAGGAAGGCCTTCTAGAACCTTGCAAGTTTTAGCTTTCTCAGCATGTGCAGTGTGTTCACCTTCCAAGTTTCCTACCCCTTCTGGAAGGAATGTTTCCTAACCCTTTGTGTTAGGGATTTGTTTGTTTAATTTTTGTTTTATGTGTATGTGTGTCCCTGCTACCAATGGATTCCCTGAAACTGGAGTCAAAGGTGCCATGTGGGTGCTGGGACTTAAACCTGGGTCCTTTGCAACCATTGATGAACTAGCCTGCCTCCATCTTAGGCCTGAAAACCATCTTATAACAAAAAGGAACTAGGTACATTCCTGTTTATGACTAAACCTCTGTTTCTCAAGGATTGAGCTGTGAATCATTTGGAACCTTAGCTACAAATGGTTCTGTACTGCCTGTGCCAGGAAATGGCAATTGTGCTTTTGCCCCCAAAAGTTGTTATGACCACGTTGAAACCCACCCTTTGTTTCAAAAGATTACTATGACCACCTGTTGCCATGACTACCTTGTTATGACCAGCTTGCAATCATGCCTGTTTCAGAAGGTCCTTATGACTAACTAGTTACACTTTTGTTCTGCTCCTGTACCACCACCTATTTGCCTGCTAAATCCCCCCATTTGGAAACTCCTTCCCCTGAGCCAGAAAAACCTTGTCTTCCTCAGATCCAAGGCTGACCTTATGAAACCTGCCTGAGGGGGAAGGCAGGCCTTGTACACAAATTTTTTAAAAAAAGCTTGTAGCTGGGCAGTGGTGGTGCTCACCTTTAATCCCAGCACTCGGGAGGCAGAGACAGGTGGATGGAGAAACCCTGCCTCGAAAAACAAAAACAACAAAACAAAACAAAAAAGAATATAACCAACGCAATCCCAGCCCTCAGAAGCCTCTGAGGTAAGACAATGGTGAAATCCAGGCTATCTTGGGTTACATAGTGAGACCTAAGGCTGTAGAGATAGTGTTAATCCCAAAGATTCCAGAAGAATGACCACCAATCCAAATCGTCATGGTCAAATAAGTTAAAGCAAGGTTTTTGTTTTGTTTTTTGAGACAGGGTTTTTCTGTATAGCCCTGGGTGTCCTGGAACTCTCTCTGTAGACCAGGCTGGCCTCGAACTCACAGTGATCCGCCTGCCTCTGCCTCCCGGGTGCTGGGATTAAAGGCGTGCGCCACCACCACCTGGCGAACTTTTTCTTTTTCTTATGTGGATGGGTGTTTTGCCTGTATGTGTATGTGTGCACTCTGTGCGTGCAGATCTTGAGGAGGTCAGAAGAGGCCACTGGATCCCCTGGAACTGGAGTTACAGGTAGTTGTCAGCCACCATGTGTGGCCCAGGAATTGAACCAAGTCCTGGGGAAGAGCAATTAGTACTCTAAACCCCCCAGCCATCTATCTGTCCCTGCTCACACAGTTTCATAGCTAACCGATGGGATAATTTCCCACCGACCATCTCTCGGCTTTGCACATTTGAAACCGATTTTTCTCCTCCACCACCCACTTCCCAGCTGCTAGAGTGTGCGCTACCAGGTGGGCAGGAAGACATTTCTTGGAAGTCACTCCTGTCCCAGGATGGCCAGTAATTCCTATATATGGAAACATAATGGCCCATTAAAGTCATACTCACAGTGTCTCCAACTTAACTTCTCCGGATTCAGTAGTCCCTTAGCCTGGGGGAGTGGGACAAAAGGAGAATCGTAAGAGACGGCAGGCGGTGTTTTGTTTTTAAACTAGCTATGTTGTCCAGGCTGGCCTCAAAACCAGGGTGAACCTCCTGCCCATGAAGTGTTGGGATTACAGATGTGCGCTAGCCACCATCATACCATTCCCTTTCCCCAGTTCACACGAATTATGACAATAGCGTTCATTTCTGGGTTCACTCCAAGGATTTCCAGCAAACAAGGAGCCTGCTGCTTGAGCATTCGCCCCGGATTCCTGCTCTGGGCATGCATGAGCGTGAAAGGTTTGGCTGTTTTTTTGACTTCTGACTAACAAAGAGCAGGGAAACGGGGAAGGGGGGGCAGTAGAATTTGAGAGACCAAGGTACAATGTGCTTGCATCTGCGCAGCCGCTTCAGCTCCCCTCCCCCACTCGGCGCGCCCTCGAGCCCACCCCTCCTCCATCGTGGTTCATGTTACCCTGGGGCCAGTAGAGGGTAGTAGAGCCTTTTGTCTAGCGAGGCAAGGCTCATTTTCTGGGTTGCCAAGGGGACTTCCGAACCTCGCTCACGTACGCTTCCGGTGACACCATCCATCTGTAACAACAAAAAGTGTACCTGCTTGGCCTAGCACAGAGCCGCGGAGTCCTGACGGATGCTTCTCTGTTAAAGATCAGCTTCACAGGAAAGTGTCGCGTACTTGCCACCCCAATGGGCAAAGGTCTACGTGACTGTGGGGCCAGGCTCCTGAAGCTCAGAGCTGGCGGACGTCACAGCCACTGTGTATCCATAACTAGTCGTCGCCATTGAGCACATACACAAAATACTGTGGGCTCGGAGGTCTCCGTTGGTCACCGAATTTCTAGTTGCCTATTCAGAGACTTTGCAAAGCTGGCGGCAGGGGGTGCCTCAGAAAGGCTGCCTTTTGTAAAAGAAATCTGCAAGTATCTGCATCCGCAAGGCGATGAGCCAAAGCCCTGGGGACTTCTCTGCTCTGCTCTGAAAAGGAGGTGGGGGGTCTGACATTTGGCGCCGACCCAAGGGAGCACAGGTGGCAGTTTCCTGAGAGACTGCATCTGCATCACAAGGCGGCCCGGCCGGCTCCAGGCAGCTTTCTCTTTCCTTCTTCAGGCCCCGGAAGCCCAATCCCTAAACCCTGCCTGCCCGCGCTTCACGGTATCTTTCTAAACTCTGAATAGTGTCCCCCCCAAAAAATATAGCTTCTTGTATTCCTTTTTGTTACTTCTTTTGTTGGAAACAGAGTCCCATGAGCCCAAATTGGCTTGGAACTACAGAGCCCATACCGGCCTTGGGTAATCCTTCAGGGTTAGGATTACAGGCCTGTCTATTAGGTTTCTCTCTCCCCCAACCAACCCCTCCCCTCTTCTCTCTCTGCACCCCCCTCTCTCTGTCCACTGCCTGGAGAGTGGGGGTCGAATTTAGGCCTTTGAGCATGCTGGAAAAGCTCTCTGCCAATGAGCTGTGTCTTCAGCCCAGAAAGAAATCTATTTCAATGCTGCGTTATCGCTTTAAGATTTGATTGATTTTTTAAAAAATATTTTGGTTTTGTTTTTTCAAGACAGGATTCTCTGTGGCTTTGGAGGCTGTCCTGGAACTAGCTCTTGTAGACCAGGCTGGTCTTGAACTCACAGAGATCCACCTGCCTCTGCCTCCCGAGTGCTGGGATTAAAGGCGTGTGCCACCAACGCCCGGCTGATTTTTTAAAATTTTTATCTATTTATTTGTGTGTGTGTGTTTGTTTGTGTGTGTGTGTGTGTTTGTTTGTGTGTGTGTGTGTGTGTGTGTGAGACAAGGTCTCACTCTGTAGCTAGCCCAGCCCCCAAACTCCAGGTGATCCCCTGACTTTATCTAAAAAAGTACACTTAGTCTTTTATTGATCATCGTTTTGACTGGACAAAATCCCCAAAGATTCTATTGAAGTGTAGGGAACAGACCAGTCCAGACCCGTTCCAAACCTGGAGTTCAAACACATAATCCTCATGCAAAGCCTTCCATTGTGAATACCTTTGATGGGGGAGGGGGTCTCACTTTCTCCTTTGTGAATAATTTTGGTTCAGGAGAGTCACCCCGGAATCAAAGTATTCACAGGGGTTGTCTGACTACTCAAATTTGTCAGCCCCTGTCCTGGCACAGCGACCATCTGGGAGCACCACTCCAATGAAGCCAGATCCACAAGAAAAACTTCAAGTATGAGCCGGAATGAAACAGCTAGTGAGTTTGTTTGTTAATTATTTAGGGCCCGAAAAAAGAAAAAAAAAGATGATTTGGGGGAAGACATACGGGAAAAGAACAATCGACCATCCCTGACTGCTCCCACCCAAGGATGTCATTTACAACAAAGTTTAAAGATTAAGAAAGCTTATACATAAGTAACATTGAAGTTATGGAAGGGCTGGAGAAATGACTCAGGTTAAAAATGGATGCTGCTCTTGCAAAAGACCCAAGTTCAGTCCCCAACATCCATGTCAGGTGGCTCACAACCACCTGTAGTCTTGTCTTCATGGGCACCTGAACTCATGTGTGTGCGCACGACAGTACAGTTCCACACTTAAAAATAAAAAAAATAAAGATTTCTTAAAATTATGTTAAAAATATGAGCTAGTTTACTCTTTTCTTACTGGTTTTTGGAGTCAGCGTTTCTCTGTGTATCCCTGGCTATAAACCTGGAACTCACGCTGTAGACCAGGCTGGCCTGTGCCTCCTGCCTCTGTGCTGGGATTAAAGGCGAGCGCCACCACCGCCCAGCTAGCCCTGGAAATTCTTTAACTATAAGTGGGACTAGAGAGATGACTCCACAGTTTAGAGAGCTTGCTGCTCTTTTGGAAGCCCTGGGCTGTTTGCCAGTACCCATGTCAGGCTGCTCCCAAGAGTCTGTAATTTCAGTTCCAGGGGCTCCAATGCCCCCTTCTGGCCTCTAAGGGCAACTGCACTCATGCACCTACCCCCCCACCAAGGCACACATACACATAATTAAAAATGAAATCTTTTTAAAAAAAAATAAGTAAACTCAGGAGGTAATAGCAGGAGGATTTCCATGAGGTTGAGACCAACCTGGTTTACAGAGTAAGTTCCAGGACAACCAGGGTTACATAGTGAGACCCTGTCTTGAAAAACAAAAAAAGTAATAAAGAAATATTTTAAAAAAGACTTTTCAAGGCTGGAGATGTAGCTCACGTAATGGAATGCTTGCCTACCATGTACAAAGTGCTGGATACCAGCACCCAGTAAAAGCAGATGTGGTAATGAAGGCCGAAGGTGGAGGCAGGAGGATCAGATGTTCAAGGTCATCCTCTGATACATAGCAAGTTGAAAGTGAAAAACCTCAACACACACCCCCTTTTTGAGACTCAGAAGGTCGCCTCAGTGGAAAATTCCCCAAGGTCCCTTCCCCTGGACAGGGAACCAGGTCTGATGAGAAAGAACATCTGGTCCAGAGTGCTAACGAAGGAGACCGGCAGGCTGTAGAGATAAGTGTACATCTGACCTTGTGGTTTCTCCAGGGAGGATGAGTTATGTCTGCGCTTCTGACAATCCCCTATTGCTTGCCCAGATCTGCACCTGTAGTAGCTCCACTCCTTACAATACCTCTATTACTTTGCTTGCCAAAAGTATGCATATAAAAAGAAAGCTGTCCTAGGGCTGGCGTGTTCAGTTAGCTAAGGCTGCTGAATCGCCCACAGACGCCTGTGTAAACAATAAACCTCTTGCGGTTTGCATCCAACTGTCTGGTTATTGAGCTCGGGACGTCACCAGGGTATTCAGCCTGAAGCCTGATAACTTCAGGTCTTTCAACACAATCAACTCTGACTTTATGTAAAGGGCAAAAAGCCTTGTGCACACGGAGAAGCACTGGAGGAGTCGGGAAGGTAAAACACAACTTGCCTCTAATGGAATCAGGTGCGTAGCTGCTCTTTCTGGAATGATGTAGTTCTAGCACCTGGTGATCCTTTGCTGTCTGATGAGACAGGCTCTGCTCGTATTTCCCAGAATTTGTTTCTACTTACCTAGGACCTTTCCCCTGAGTCGTGAGCACTGCTTTTACACCACGAAACCCACTCTCAGAGTGAGGCCACTTGTGCTTTACAACAGCATAAGCCACATCTATGTTACGTTAGGGCCGGGCCAACCCTGACACCACAGGCATTGTTTACCTCAGTCAAGCTCCCTAGACCCTAAATCTTGGGAACAGCAGTAGCCATTCTTGTGAAAGAAGTCTGATGTACTTAGTAAAGAATTTCAGTGTAGACCTGTCTTAAAGTGTGCACTTGGGGCTGAGTTAATTGTTATCTGAATATCTTTTTCCAAACTTGTGCTGTGCTTGCTTACATATGATTAAAGTAAAACGACCTGGGCAAGACTCTAGGAGTCTTGGTCCAGCGCCTGTTACAAGACAGGGTTTCTCTGTGTAGCCCTGGCTGTCCTGGAACTGACTTTGTAGACCAGGCTGGCCTCGAACTCAGACATCCACCTGCCTCTGAGTTCCATTTTTGTCTCTTCATCGATTATTCATCGCCCACAGACGCCTGTGTAAACAATAAACCTCTTGCGGTTTGCATCCAACTGTCTGGTTATTGAGCTCAGGACATCACCGGGGGTATTCAGCCTGAAGCCTGATAACTTCAGGTCTTTCAAAAGTCAGGCTGTAGCAGGGCGGTGGTGGCGCACGCCTTTAATCCCAGCACTTGGGAGGCAGAGGTAGGCAGATTTCTGTGAGTTCGAGGCCAGGCTGGACCGACAGCCTCCAAAACAATACAGAGAAACCCTGTCTCGTAAATACAAAAAAAAAAAAAAAAAAAAAGTCAGGCTGTATATGAGCCCCTGCTTAAGAAAAAAGTTCTCTTTGTAACGTGACTTTATTGTGGTTTGGTGCAGCTTAAGTTTAGGGATGGGAAAGGAGTACTGTTATAGTAAAACTCAAAGTTTTACCTAACTAAACACAGCTCCTTATTTTTTTCTTTTAAAATTTAACTTTATTTCATGTGCTTTGTTGTGAGGGTGTCAGATCCCCAGAACAGGAGTTTCCATGGTTCTTGTAAGGATTCAGGCATTATGCTGGCCTGCCCCTGCCACCTGGCAGAATGCACTCAGGCAGTACCCTGGTCAGCCCAGGGTTCCATGGCTGTGTAGTCTCTGTGCAGTTGCAAAGGACCCCTTTAAAAGAAAGACCGTGCCCACTTATGCTCTCTTGCTCTTTCTGCTCTTTCCGCCCCTCTTCTTCTTCTTCTTCTTCTTCTTCTTCTTCTTCTTCTTCTTCTTCTTCTTCTTCTTCTTCTTTTTTTTTTTTTTTTGAGACAGGGTTTCTCTGTATTGTTTTGGAATCTGTCCTGGAACTCACTTTGTAGACGAGGCTGGCCTCGAACTCACAGAGAGATTTGCCTGCCTCTGCCTCCTGAGTGCTGGGATTAAAGGTGTTCGCCACCAACGCCCAGCTTTTTGTTTTGTTTTGTTTTTCGAGACAGCTCTGTGGCTTTGGAGCCTGTCCTGGAGCCCGCTCTGTAGCCCAGGCTGGCCTCGAACTCACAGAGATCCACCTACCTCTGACTCCCGAGTGCTGGGATTTAAGGCGAGCACCACCAATGCCCAGTCTGCCTCTCCTCTTCTTTCTGCTTTCCTGCTCTTCTCTCTCTCTGCTCTCCTGTTTTTGCTCCTGTCTCCCTCTTCTCTTCTGTCCTCTCTGTCTCTTTACCTCTCTTTCCTTCCCCCTCCCTCCCCTTTCTAATAAAACTTCTCACTCAAGCTCTGCCATAGAATCTGCCATGGACCCCCACGCAGGACCCCCTTGTAGCTTTATCCTAGCATTGATGCAAAAGAAAAGCAGCTGTGAGCTGCATGTGGATGCTGGAATTGAACTCAGGACCCCTGGAAGAGCAGTTACTGCTCTCAACCACTGAGCCATCTCTCCAGCCCCTCATTTGTTATTTTTAGCCTCTTTGAGATGTCCTTAGGAAAACATTTCAGTGTTTCTATACTCAATTTTAGCTTCGTCAAGTGTGCTCAGGGTTTTGCTTTGTTTTATTTTTGTTTGGCTTGGTTTTTAATTTTCGCGTTTATTTTGTGTGTGTGTTCACACATATATATGTATTGGAGAGTACGTGGCATTGAATGTGTGTGGAGGTAAGAAGACATCTTGTGGGAGTCTGCATTCTGTCTTTCCATCATGTGAGTCCTGGGGCTTGAATGTGAGTCATTAAGTTTGGTGCCCAGCGCCTTTACCAGCTGAGCCAACTCACAAACCCTCGGTTGCGTTTTTTTTTGACTCAGCAGGAATGGCAAACTAGATCCCAAGGTGTCCC